GAATTGTGAAGCTCTTTCGTCAACCTTTGTTTGCTATATAAATAAACTGACACTGACCTTGACAATAAAAAAGTTGAACAGATCTAAAAGCAGTAAGGCCTGAATTCACCACAGGAATGTGCAACTTTCCCAGGAGCAAAATTAGATCTTGCAGCTCTAATTAGTTCACAAAGGGAGATGTAAGCCTCAAACTGTGCTGCCCAATTTACAGCATCTGTCTGTGCTGACACAGTCTGCCAACATTTTAATAAGGTCTTGTGCAAGCATTTAAAAAAACAAGCAAAAAAAAACTAAAGCGCCTGGATCTTCCACACTAGCACCGATTGTGTGTGTAAATACTGTCTCCTGAGAGCTGCATGTCAAGAGAGAAAAGGTGCCTTATTTGGCAATATTTTCACAAATACTGAAACTAAACAGATTGAAACATAAGACCAAAACAAAATATAAAAATATCTATGCAGCACCAGGAGAAACTGAATTAAACTTTTCTTTGCTCCCAGAGACTCCAAGTCCACAACAAAATGAATTTAACAGCTAAAAAAGTAGATTTTGCCTGATGTATCCTCTTTAATATAAATGGCTGCCATGTTGGTAAAGATAAAATCAATCTCCAATTCCAAAAATGAGTGCCAGACAATGCTGCTTTTACAAATAAACTAAAATTCTAATGCTATTTTAAATTAACAAATTATGCAAGTGGGCACAAATGATGGCACACAATATAAGAACTGCACAATCTTGGTGAATATTGTAGGAAACTTTTGTAAAAACAAACACATCATAGTTTCAAACTTTAGGCTTGATCCGCAGTGATTGTAATAAACAGCCTCTGAGAAAAAGTGACACCAAATGACAAAGACAGAAAAATGTTCCAAACAGGGAAAATGCTTCACTGAATTGGTTGAAAATTTGCAGCTGTCCTTTTTATTTATTGGCACCTCATATCAAATAAATCAGAAGATTTTAGCCTTTGTTGTCTCTTGGTTTATTTCCTTAGTTTTTAAGTTCTCACTACAAAAGTTGTAAGCTGCCTGCCCTTCAAATAATGTCAGTATTTTGTTTCTCTGCCAGGGTTTGATCAAGCTCAGCTGGTTTATAATGTAATGTAGGTGATTTTATGTGGAGTGAGTCAAACCCTTGCTGTTGTGTGAACTTACTGTCTCCAGGTTATGATATGCTCCAAAGTTAAAGCTCCTGGTGCTGTGCTCCGACATCTGGTTCATCTCCATCTCTGCTTTCTCCTGATTGAGAAGCTCCTGAATGTGACACGCAAGAAATGTCAAATTTATTTTCCAAACCTCTGTCTAGTTCTCAGAGGAGTACAAACCTGAAGATTATCAATCATGACAGTGAAGGGGATGTCGTGGACATGGAGGTACTCCTTCACAGAACTCAGACTGGAGCGAGGCACTCGGATGTCTACAGGAAGCTCAGTAGAGACTGGCTGGAGCCAGAAATCCAGCTGCAGTCAAAAGAGACAATCAGAAACCAAACACTGAGCAAGCACGAGTAGCCTACTGTACTATACTGTACTGTACTACTGTACTGTCCTTCACTGCACTGTACTGTACTGTTCTTCACTGTACTGCACTGTACTGTACTTCACTGTAATGTACTGCACTGTACTGTACTTCACTGTAATGTACTTCACTGTACTGTACTGTTCTTCACTGTAATGTACTTCACTGTGCTGTACTGTTCTTCACTGTGCTGTTGTGGTATATTTTGTGTACTGGCTCTTTAAGAAAATGTGAACGAGCGKGTCGGACCGGAGCGCGCAGGAAGGCGGGCACGCGCTTTCTTTGTTCAGAGTTCTCCGTATCATCTAGCCGTTAGCATCCTCTTCTTTTCTCTCGCTGAATAAACATGTCCAGAACTGAAGAAATAGTCTTTTCGTCATTCAAATGTTAGATTAGAGTTTTATTGACTTGTCAGAGGAGGAAGTCCACTGGTTTTCATCGACCCAGGAGAAGCCACCGACAGCAGAACCAGCCGACAGCCGCATCACCAGCAGCAGCCCCAGAGAAGCACCAGACAGAGTGAGCAGACGAGGGAGAGAGAAGAGTCCAGCAGCTGACAGCCTCAGAACCGAACCGAAACGGAACCAGAGACCAGAGAGAGACACGACAAAATGGCGTCACGAAATTTAGGTCTGTTTTGCATTTACTTTCTGTAAAATGCAGCTGTGAACCTGTATGGAGAGCGTGGACATATGTGAAGAGTTCTGGAATCAAATTTCTTTGTCATGCTAGCGTTTCTGTTTGGGTTTTTGTGTATCTGTGTTTTTATTGGGGTTAAAAAGAGCGTTTATTGTCGAATTAAGTAGCTCCGAGGAGAACAAAGGCTTGAGCTGCTGAGAAAGGGGGGCAGGGCGCTGCACATGTTAGCGCGAAAGCGTGCTTTGCCGTGACGGCAGATGTCGTAAACCAGCTTAAAGTACAATAAAACTGTTCCTTTTATGTTTTAAATAGTCAAGCTGTGGTGTTTCCTAAATCCGGGATCGGACAAGGCATGTAATTCCGTCAGATTCAATTTTACTAGAGGCAGCAGCAGTGTTTTTATGTTGAGATGAAGTAGAGTTCATATGGAAGGCAAAACAATGCCACATTTGTGTTGAGAATATTAAATTTGAGGATTAGAAGTGCAGCTACAGAGTAAAAAGCAGTGCAGTGTGAGAATAAAGACGTCTCTCAGTATTGAAATAAAAGTTTAGATGTGTCTGGCCAGTTTTTGAAGGAAAAAAAAAGATAAAGGAAAATAAAGGGATCCAGTTTATGTTTCTTAAATTTTTTCTTAAATTTTTTATGTTTGTCGTCTGTTCATTGTTATGTTAGTTAGTTTGTTTCTGTGTGTAAAAGCTTGATTTAGTGGAAATTTGAACGCTGGCCGTTCAAGGTTTAAAAGTTTGGTGTGGTTCAGGACAGTTCTTTGTCCTGTCCAGACTGATTTATAGCGTGGTGGGGGTAGCTGTGTTGCATGACTTCTGGTTTCTACCTCTCACTTCCTGGAGATCTGGCTTTGTATTGTTTTGTGTGTCCGACCCTTGCTAAGCTAAGCTGTTTTATTAGTTATTTTTTTGACAGTGTTGCCCGCCACAGAGAAAAAAGTGTGTGTTCTCTGGTGGTTTATGTGTAAGTACGTACTTTGAAGTATAAGTGTTGAGATGCGCATCTCTGGTAAAGTGTGTTAACCGCTGCGCCGTGGCTAATGAAACTAGTCAGCACGGAGACGTCTTTGCTGCCTGGGTTGGCTACTGGTAGGAAGCAGGTTGAGAGGAGCCGTTCAGCCTTGTCAGTTTTGTTAGCTCACCCGGATAGGATTACACGGTCACAGTGACTTTGAGGCCTGAGCACTGTTTAAGTCCGATGGAAAAAGGTCGGGGAGTTAGCTAAGATGCTAGGTGATGAAGGCTGTCTCATGTAGTTTAAAGGGAGGCATGTCAGGAATTTTTTGTTATTTTTT